GCAGTGTGAACACGGCTTTGTTGGCAGGAGCACTCTCCTGCCAACAAAGCTATGCCGCTCACGGGGCTGGAAATATTTTGTCGGCAAAAGTGCTGACAAAATACCAACAGAGAGTGTTCAGACATGCTGACTTTTAGTGACAAGGCTGTGACAGCCTTGTCGCTAAAAGCTGCGTAGTGTAGACAAGTCATAACATTAAAGCAATTCAGTTTTCCATACATGAATTTGGAATGTTATAGAGGATGGGATGTTAGTAGCTTAACATACCAAGGGCACAGTGTTCTTATAACGCCACAGAAGCAATTCAATGAACAGACAAGGATATAACCACGCCCGTCACAGCTAGATCTCAGGTCCACACACACTATGACTTTGTGTGCATGTGAGAATACTAAACTCTATGATCAGCCAATAAATCTTACAGGAGCTGGCATTTTTCTAAGAATGGTGCCTCAGGCAAGGCCTGTGTGGCCTAGAAAGGCAAATACTCTGATCCTGTTTATCTGTTACCTCTCCTAAGAGAGTTCCCTAGCTGTTGTTTCAATCTTTCCTTCCAATTATAGGAGCAGTGCTCATTCAAGTAGAAAACAGAAACACTACCACATAACTTTTGGGAACACTCCCAACTAGCCAGCACAAATAGAATATTGAGCACTGAATATGCCATAGCAAACTGTACGTGTTAAAAAAATTGTAATGTAACTTTGAACAGCAAGTAGAGTGTATGAAATCACAATCTGATTATAAATGTTCCAGGAGCTGAAAGAAAGAAAAATTATTGCAGTAACGTCTTCACTGTTAATTGCTCCCAGACCTGGAGCATGCTACTTTGCTTTACTCACTTAACATTATGCACATTAGTCAATGGGATTATTCAGGTACATGTGTAAGCTTTTACCGGATCAGAGCTTCATCTTCAAGCAAAGCTGGCCCCTTCTGGAAACCCCCAGAATTCCTTGGATCCGTTGATTCTGAGAAGAAGGCAAATATGCTAATGTTTGAGGAACTAACCAAAAATCATGCCCTAAATATCTCCACAATTACCAACATCAACAACAACTCGCTAATCAAAATTAGTTCTACAGGAACAGGAAAACTGTCTCCAGCAGGAACAAGGTGAATGATTTGGCCAAACTTCATTTGCAAGAGTTAAAGTGTTTGGATTGGACCTGCTGGCCTCCTTTCTAGGCTCCTCACCACAATTGCACTATTCTTTTTATTTCTAAATATTATAGCAATATATTCCATGGGAAAGGAAATAATAAATAGCATCTTAAACTTTGCAAAATTCTTTGGGAGAAAAATAAAGGGCACCCCCTTGATGCTGTCTCCTATGCCAGCTCCTTGCACTGGAGGGAAGATGGGGGATGGTCCTTCTGTTTTAGTGGTAACATCACAGCATCACAGCAGAGTGGGAGTCGGTTGGCCACTATGCAGGGGACCTTAATAGCAACAAACAAAAGTAAGTCTAAAATAAGTTCTGTGCACAGGCTTTCTCTCCTTTAGCGTTACCATTTGGAGGATTCCACAGATAATCTCACGAGTAATTCATCTAAAAAAAAAAAGCAACCTGCTTCCCAAGCCACTTTTAAAGTATTAGTTCAAACAGGAACAGGGACAAAAACCAAAACATTACCTATCCCAAGCATTCAGAAACCATGAGTCAGGCCTGTGAAAATCATGAGAGTGGCTAAGGGCTGGGCTACACTTAGATCGACCCAGCTATGTCGCTCAGGGGTGTGAAAAGACACACACACATACAGACACCCCCAACCCCCCACCCCACCCCAGCAATGTATTTAAGCTAACCTAAGTCCCTATGTAGACAGTGCTAGGTCAATGGGAGAATTTTTCTGTTGACCTAGCTACCCACTCTTGAGGAAGTGGATTACCTATGCCGATGGGAGAACTCCCGCCCTGCAGCATAGGTAGTGTCTACTCTGAAGTGATACAGCAGTAGCATTTCAAGTGTAGCCAAGGCCCTTAAAACCCATGACATTGAAAAGAAATAATGGTTTTTCGTCTTAAGTGTTAAGGTTTTTGAGCTTTTGGGGCCCAGGGCAGCACTGGGGGTGCCGCTCTGACAGAGCCGGCAGTGCCAGAGCTGGTTGCGCATGTGGGCGTATAGCCTCCTCCATGAGGTACTTGTGGTGGCAAAGTTCTCGAGCTGCTTGAGTTCTGGAGGGGAACGAACGGCAGATGGAGCAATGGGCGATGATGGCGGCTTTGCCAAGCCAGTAAAGGCAACAGTGGTGTTCGTTGCTGACAGAGAAGGTACGCGGACACGAAGCACAGTTGTTAAAACCAGCTTGCCTCAGCATACTCCCCTGGGTAAGGGCCCCGCAGGGATAAAAGTCAAAGGAAGACTTAACTAACTACAGTAACAGACAACTCTATACAACTAGAAACTATGTACAAAAAAGAAGCGGACAGCAGTTCTTTTAGCAGGCTCAGCGCATCAAGGCACAGGGGTTCCGATGCTGGCCATGCAGCTGTAAGAAGGAACTGGAGCGGCATCGACCCACACAGCCTCTTAAAGCCTTGGATGTGTCACGGGGCGCCGGTGATGCACATGCAGGTCAAAGGACACTACTATGAACAGTTCCAGCTCTGCCCGCGTTTGGAATCCGCATAGGGATCGTCTCTTGAAAAAGAAGCTGAGATTTTTCACCTAATCCCATAAAGGGAGCTTAAGACCAGCCCCAAGGAAAAGGGAAGCTAAAGTGGACCCTCCTTCCTCTCACTCAGCCGCCTAGGAAGAGGAAGCAGTGCGGTACCAACAACCAAGAAATAGCACCACCCTGGCATTTTTGTTTGGGTGCTTTATGTTGAAAGTATTTGCTCGGGCAGTAGCAGTGAGGTTGGGGATTTGGTTGCATCTTCTCATTGTTGTGCTCTCAGATGTGGCCACGCTGCAGCTGGCACTCAAGAACATTGTTCATTGTCTTAACGCAGCTAATCTGGATTTTGTTACTGTTAAGCAATCATATGTTGGTCCTGGAAACAGATGTTTTGAGGTTTCTGGCCAATATTTAAAAAAAAAAAAAACACCGCCAGGTCGATAGCTGCATTGTTGAATGGCAGGGCAGCCTTAGACAGCAAGAGCCAGTATCTTTCCTTTCTCTAAAAGAAGATAGTGCAATTTGTACAATCCAAGAGCTTACATTCAGGCAGATGATTAATTTCTAACTGAAGGGCAAATAATTTTTAGACCAAGTATTTTCAGGGCGTTGGTGCGGCTGTCTGTGCACTGCATCTGAGATGAAATAGAAACCTCTTCACTGCAGTTATATCCCAGGAAGTGTTCACGGGGGTGGGGGGGAGCATGAGTGGTTCTACTGTTTCACAAGAAAACAAACTCTAATAATAATTAAGGGAAAGGCATATCCAATTAATAAAGCAATAAAGATTTTTTTCCAAATTGGTGGCAAACAGTTATTTTTTTCTTGGAGAGCTCAGCTGACAAGGTTTCTTTCCTCCTTTGTCCCCCAATCTCTTTCAATAATCATTCTTCTTCATGCAAATATAGCTGGAAAGGGGAGAACAGTAAAAGGTTAAAATGGAAGCAGACTATCTTTCATCGACATGGTAATTTTGCTGCTTGGCTTAGCGCCAAATGTTCGCTGCAGCCACTAGCTGCCATTCCAACATGAGTGAAAGGATCTTTAATAAGAGTGTAAATAAAAGCCAGGCTGAGAAATGAGTTTTCCATCCCAGCAATCACTGGCCTAACCTCTGCTGTAAATAGTCTCTCAGAGCAGCACAGATGGAGTACCTGCACCTGGGGATCAAGGCAATCTCTGAGCAGTGCAATTTAAACAGCTGAGTACAATTGAAACATGAATTAGCTGGGATAGGCTGAGGAATTCCATTTTGTGTATTATGTAAAAACAAATAATTCAGTCATTTCTTTTTGCCTTTAAAAAAAGAAAAATATCTTTCCTGACATGATCTTGTGGGAGGTGCTCTTCACTGCAGCTGTTAAATTAATCTAACCATGAGAATTTACCACAAAGTGCTGTAAAAACAGGGGTCCTAATTTATTATCATTGATTTAACTGCTTGAGAGTGATTTATCTGATCCCTGTACAGATAGTGAAGACACCAGAAGAATACTCGGTCACTCTGGGCTTTGTGTGCTTTGGATTGGCCTTATTAATTCAGAGCAGAAGATCTGCTTCCATGTCTTACTGAGAGAGTCAAAAGCACTTGGTAACTGAACCATTTTAAAGACTTTTTTTAAGCATTACTAACACTGCTAAGTGCTAAGCATTTACAGAACACAAAACAAGTTCCTCATTAGCTAAGAAATGGCAAGGATTCATTTAGCACTGCTCACAAAAACCGGTTTTGGTCTTGCCATTGTAAGAGGTTTTTTTTAAAACACGGAGGTTTTTTTTTGGTTGTGTTGTTTTTTGGGGGATAGGAATCTATAGCATTTTGTGAGATCATGTGGGCTTACAAACACTAGGAAAACTAAAAATGTCTTTGGAAAAGGATAAAGGAGTTTGGTGCAGGAGATTACTGACTGCTACTTTTTTAAAGATAGATTTCATATCCACCTAAAAGCTTCACTTTCTGAACATCTCTTACCACTCTGTCCTCTGGTACATCATTACTAGTTATAGAGTCTATACATTATTGTGTAAATATGCTCAGACCTCATTTCAGCAGGATATTACTTTTGGTTACAATAGTGTATGGTACACTGTCATTTTAATGTCACAACTGAGTGATGCAATTGCATTGCATGAATAAGAGGGGAAAGGATGAAAGGCAGAAGAAAAGGTGGGTGGTCTATATACAGCTATAACAAGCATTTTTTAAAGGAATGTGAAATTGAATATAGATGTTTTAAATGGTTAGCTACATAATAAAGTCTGGGTACAGCCTCCTCCAGTCCTTCCTGTTAGGAACAACAGAACAAAGCACACGCACACACAAAAAATCACACAGGTGAAACCACAATCATTTCTTTTATTTATAGCCCTAACCAGAAAAATAGACAGGGAGCAGCTGAGTACCAATTTATTTTGCTGCCTGAACTGATGTGTTGTTGGGTTAAATGTCATTGAGTTGGAAGGTTATGCATTTCATTCACTGCCAGTTTATGCCCAGCTTTAAAGCAGATCTACAAGGATACCAGTAATTGTCTTGCCACCTTTCAAGGTGGGAGAAAGAAATCCTGCAGTCTAGAATTGGCAATATGTGCTTACAGTCATTTCATTGTTCCTATGAAATTCTATTTGAACTGAAACTAAGGTGGTCCATTGGATCCTGTTATAAGAAAGAGGGGAGCAGAAAGTAACTTCTCTCCCCTAAGAACTAACCAATAACAATTATTTTAAACAGTAGAAAGGTGACTTAGAACCAATTTCCAAGTATACAAAAAACAAAAGAATATTGAACAGATAGCCAAGGGAAACTGGAGGATAGATGCTCACACAGCTACCTACTTTATTACAAGGTTCTGAGGACATAATGTTAGGACTGCTTTGAATTTTTAATTAAATAAGAATTTTTAAAAATAGCTTATAGAAGAAAAGTGTCATAATTTAAACAATCTTTCTACATACTAGACAGACAAGGTGGGTGAGGTAATATCTTTTATTGGACCAACTTCTGTTGGTGAGAGAGACAAGTTTTCAAGTTACTCAGAGGTCTTCCTCAGGTCTTGGCCCAGACTATAGATGAGGGTGACCAGATGTCCCGATTTTATAGGGACCATTCTGATATTCGGGGCTTTATCTTATATAGGCACCCTATTACCTCCCACCCGCTGTCCCAATTTTTCACACTTGCTTTCTGGTCACCCTACTATAGATAGCCACTTTGATTCTAAAGAGGAGATGTCAGATGGAGTAAGAAAACGTCACCAAGTTTTCAGGCAACCAAAAAATCAAAAAGACACCTGTTGTACACAAGCAGGCAGGCTACAAATTTATAAAAAAAGAAGACCTTGTGATGAGTGGTAAAATGCGTGAGATCAGTGACCAATAAAAAGACATATTTCACAAATATATATATACAAAACTATATAAATCCACAACAATAAATGGTGTGGAGGACTGGATCATGTTGTTGTGTCAGCAGCCACCTATGCAGGGGCACCTATGCAAGGTTACCTACCTTCTCGTAACTGTTGTTCTTCAAGATGTGTTGCTCATGTCCATTCCAAGTAGGTGTGTGCATGCAGCATGCACAGTAGTTGGAAGGCTTTTCCCCTAGCAGTACCCATTGGGTCAGCCTGTGCGCCCCCCTGGAGTTGTGCCTTCATGGCACTGCATATAGGTCCCTGCCGACCCACCGCCTCCTCAATTCTTTCTTTCCACCAGTGACGGTCATCGGAGCTGAGTGTCTCTCTTGCTTCAGCAAGCGTTTCCCCTCGTGACTTCTGTATCTTCAGACCTGTAAATATGTAACCCTTCTGACAGTCAGAATTGGCAGCACCAAGGGCCGGGTTCAGTATCTAGGGGTTCCTTTTCAACACTACAACACAAAACCGGCTCAAGCCCCCACCCAGTGACCTGGGACAATTACACACCACCCCCTGGGCACCTCTAAGAGGCAATACTTCCCCTCTCGCAGGCACAGAGTCTGCAAAAACTTTTAATAAAAGTAACTCAGCATTAATTTGGGAAAACACTGCAACTAGGGTTCATAAACATAAACAATGAGCAAAAGACCCATCCCCAAATAAGTTGGCCAGTGTCCTTTTCGCCTCAAGTTCTTAAGTCCAGCAACCCAAAAGTCACTTTAACCTGCCCATCCCTTCTCTGCACCACACTCACAGTTGCTGTCCTTGGTCAGTGCAGCCCCAGAGTTCAGAGGTTCATCTGCAGAGTTCACCTCCCACCCTGGGTGGAAGGGGCATGGTAAGGAGACACTTTACATGCTCCACTTCCTGGGCATTCACTCGCCGCCCCGCTAGCCAATTGCCAGGCCTCTCTGGCCCTCTCTGCCAGCCACCCACTCACCAAGATGCCTTCAGGGCCCACCACTTAACAGAGCTCTCAGTGATTTCAGGTGTTAGTGGGGGACCCTCATGCTGGTGCACACTGTCCAGTAGTAGGTCCAATATTTAGATGTAGGTATCAGTGATTTCAGCTGTGCAGCATGTAATAGGACTCAATTGAGTCTAAATTAGCTCTGCTATTACACAGTGGAGAGAGAATGGTGTCTAGGAGCCTTAAAGAGTGCCCACACAACCAGGTACAAGTACCGATCCCCACCCTCTCTCTAATCATTGGGCTTTGGAACCCATGTCCCCTGCCTAGCTAGTGCCAAAGACAATACTTATAGCCAGTCCTATGGTAAACTAGCTAAGGATTTATTAACTAGGAAAAAGCAATGAGAGAGTTATTACAAGGTTAAAGTAGGCACCATATATATACAAATGAGTTACAGTCTATGGTTCCAAAAGGTGACAGTTGTAGGAATCTGTCAGCTCTGAATGTCTTTTAGAGCTAACCCAAGTTGACCCTGGGGAATCTCTGCTTCTGTTTTGTAACTCCAACCCTATATGTGTCCAACCAGCAAAAGAGATGAAAAATTTTCTTGTTCACTATCTTTATTTCTATCTTCCAGAATTCAAGCTGATGGGATGACCCCTTTTGCACGTAGCCTCTTCATCGGTGTGAAGGGGCAATTAACAATGTCTTTGCTTTGTGATGTCCCACAATGGCCCATTTCATTTTGCTAACCTTCTTAATGACCAGGAGACTATACATTCTGACGGGAAGGCAGTTTCAGGGCAAACATTTTTTTACAGTTATAAAGCAAAATCTTAAATATTACCTTATAGCATGTGTTACAAACTTTGTAAGTAGGATTAATGCATGCAGCAGCTTACAAGCATTTCATAAAGTCTAAACACTAAACACATTTTTATAAGGCCAAGACCCATCTTAATACACGTGAGCTGGACTGGTTTCCAGCAATGCATTTGTCAGTGTTTGGCTGAGGCCTAAAGCCCTGGCAAGAGCTGCCACCTGGTCTGCCAGCATCACACATCCCACTTTTAGTGTCACTAATATTGGCTAAGTCAGGTGACCTAATGAACAAATACAAAGATTATTTTATGGGTGAGGCAATGGTCTAGGGAGAACAAGTTTAAAGTGGACACTAACACACAACCCCAAAACCCAAGTTGCATTTTGAGACTGATTCGTTACAAATCTTAAAATCTGAAAACTTAGAGGGAGTTATCAAAATAGATGCTCCTATAGCATGGATCAATCCAATAGTAGTACTGTGGGAGAAATTACACAGAGAACAGTTAGTTCTGGAATCTGTTAGTCTTTAAGGTGCCACCAGACTGTTGTTTTTACAGAGAACAGTTGCAACTGTACCGAAACCTGTGAGTCCTCAACAAGGCAGCCAAGCAAATGTATTACCAGTGACTACATTTGTTGATTAAACGAGTAAATTAGCTAAGGTCTAGTTTTGTAGTATCCTGGTTGCCAGGTTCACTTACATTACCTAAAACTGCACCAAGAAACTACAATGCTAACCATGTTGAGTATTCCACAAGGGCGATGCAGATGCACCTATTCCTTTATGGGAATTTATGTAGTTCCAGAAAAGTTGCCAGACCAAATGAGCCACATTTGGGGGTCATTTGACCAAGGGACTTCCAAATTACAGGACCCACCCAAAAAAACAGTTTCTTCCTGCTGCCTTGTATGGTTAAACTGGGAGGTACTAATGACTGGCTGAATCACAGACCTCATTGAGATTAATGTCTGAAAAATGTCCCTTCAACTAACGTCAGAGGGATATGTTACTCACAAGCCCCTGCCTCCCAAAATAAAAGAAGTTTTTGACTCTCGCTGGTGGTGGCTAACATTTGAGAGTCACAGGTGGCAATTTTATTTTGCGGGAAAATACTCAAAGTATTTTGAGAGGGAATTAGATATGTGACTGCCTGATGGGAGAGAGATAGGTATTAGGGGGTAGAGGAGTGGGAAAATGGGGGGAGGGGAGTGGTTTGGGGCTCAGGAGCAAGGGGGAGGCAGATAAATGGTGATGGGTGGGAGTGGAGGGGAAAGAGGTTGGGGCTCAGGTGAGGGAGGGGTGGGACACTGGGAGGGGAGACATGGGGCAGGGTCACCAATCAGCCCCACATTCTCCCCAACTGTGCGTATGCCCAGATCTGAGGGGCTCTTGCTCCTCTACGGAGGTCTGAGGCCACCCTTCCCTCCCCTCACATAAAGCTGGGATATGGGGGAGCTTGCCCCTCTAGGGGTGTCTGAGCCCCTACTGGTGCCCCCGGTGTGTGCCTATGAAGAATCTCATCGGGTGGGGAGGGGACACACTTCAAAAAGGTACATTTCAAAGGTTTACTGGACTATAAGGGTATGTCTACACTCAGCCGCTAGTTCGGCGGCTGGGAATCGAAGTTCTGGGTTCGACTTATCGCGTCTTGTCTGGACGCGATAAGTCGAACCAGGAATTGCTCGCCGTCGACTGCGGTACTCCAACTAGACGAGAGGAGTACCGCGGAGTCGACGGGGGAGCCTGCCTGCCGCGTGTGGACCGAGGTAAGTTCGAACTAAGGTACTTCAAACTTCAGCTACGTTATTCACGTAGCTGAAGTTGCGTACCTTAGTTCGATTTGGGGGTTTAGTGTAGACCAAGCCTAAGTGGCAACAAGACATGTTTGTTATTCATCACTGCTGGCGCAAGAAGGACAGCACTTTTTGTATCCATGAAAGCTGGATCCTGGCCCCAGGGGCTGGTGATGTTGAGGTTGCTGAAGGTGAGTTGGATATTTCAGACAAAGACTTTACCCTCCTAAGGTTGTGTTTAGTCTCGTAGCAGCATGGTTTACTTTTGTTTCATTTGTAACTATAGCTGTTTCTACAACCCTTACTCAGTAGCACTTGAAGCTCTATCTTTGTGAATAACCTTTTCTCTGTTTTATCATCAGTAGAGCTGAGTGCTGTTAACATTAAGCAAAGTGTGAGCTCTTGAATCAAGTAAGCTGGTGTGTATACTGCTCTTTGGAGGGAGCAGACTTACTGTGAGTGTCCAGTGACTGCGGCTCGATACCACAGAGAAAGACTCTTCAAGGAGGTTCAGAGACTGGGGTGCACCAAATGTTACCTGCAAGACAAAGAAAGGACTGGCAGCGTCCTGAGAAGTTTGTCTGGCATGGCTAATAAACTCGGGTGACAGGGAGCTGTCACCCCGTTTAGTACCAGCAAATCTCTCTCTGACTGAGACAAGCACGTAACAAGGTAACCCACAGTCTTGGGTGCACTTAGAAAGCATCCCAGACTCCCTCCTCCCCCATAAATCAGCCTCTGGAGGGTGTTGTCTTTTTGGGAGAGTCCGAGAGTTCCTCACGGCCCCATACATGGGCAAGGTTTTGGGGAATGTCTTCAGTCCTGCCACTTTGGGTGGGGAGCTGAGAATGGGCTTACTTCATGCATAGCACAGGCTGTAAAGTGCTCGGGGGTGGGGGGCTGGGAACACCCACTGAGGTGAATGGAGCAGTTCCCATGTTTTACAGTTATTGTTTCAGGTTGCACTGGTTTCTGGGGGTGTTCTCTTGCCGCTGAGAACATCACAATGAGATGAATGGGCCACTTCACACCTTTCAGAGATTCCTATGCTACAGGTGGATGGATGGAGAAGCCCTTTTTCCCATCATCCCTCTATCCTTCCTGCTTGAAGGACAATACTTCTAAATGCTCTAAAATCCACATGCTGGCACATGAAATCTGCACTGCCTTGTGGGAGTGCAGAGTAAGATTAGTGTTCCGAATCTGGGGTCAGTTGAGCCAGGGGGTTTGGAGACATAGGAACCCCTCCCCCCCAAAATAATAGCTATTTTCAGGTGTTGCTTCCAAGGGTGGTTTTTATGTTTTGGTTGGTTGGTTTTCTTTGTGCAGAGCTAGATAAACTATTATGGCTCTTCAGGTCAAAATGGTCTTGATTAGCCACATTTTACCAAGGTAGAGCATGGCACCCACTGGGGCCCCAAACTGTGAAAACTATTAAAGAAAATACTCACTTATTTGTTTGCATAGATGTGATGTCTGGAAGGATTGCAGTGCACCAGTAAAGAAAAAACCCTGAGATCACTTCTATGTAGCCACTTTATGTTTGCCTGGGTAGTTTGAGGACTGTGCCAACATCATTAGCCCTGGTGAACACCCTGCCACTGTTATTTCCAGTCCGAATCTTTGTACACCTGTGCAATACACATTTAATAACTCATGTTGCCTGATACAAGTTGTCTCTGCTATAATGTGTTTTTATTTTATGGGGCGATTTATAGTGAACACAGCAGAACAGTCAGTGGACAGCCTAACCAAACATTTTGTTATATCGGGTAAGGAGGAGTAGGAAACAGAGGACCTGGTGTAGTGGGGAAAGGGGAGACAGGAAGGGGGTTTGCTTGCGGAGAGGGTGGGAAATGAGGATGGGTAGTAGGCAACCCTTGGACTGGTTGTTTGAGAAAATCTGTTTTACTAAGCCAGAGGGTGTGGGGTGGGAGAGACAATGTGGGACACAGAAATGGCTACTTCCTGATTTCAGGCAGATTAATGTTGATATTCCTAAAGCCACACAGCACCAAGGTTTAGAATGGACAGTGCAGGTACCTTGACTGCTGAGGGAAAAGAAATGTGTGTGATGCTACGGTTGCTAATGATTAATAGATTCTAAGGCCAAAAGGGAACATTATGATAATCTAGTCTGACCTCCTGTATAACAGAGGCCATAAAACTCCCCCCAAATAATTCCTAGAACAGATCTTTTAGGAAAACATCCAATCTTGATTTAAAAATGGTCAGTGATGGAGAATCCATCACAACCCTTGGCAAATAGTCCCAATGGTTAATTTTTCTGACCCTTAAACATTTACACCTTATTTCCACTCTGAATTTGTCTAGCTTCAACTTCCAGATGGTGGATAGTGTTATTTCCTTCTCTGCTGGACTAGAGAGTCCATTAAAAATTAGTTCCTGAGATAGGTATTTATAGACTATAATCAAGTCACCTCTTAACATTCTCTTTATTAAGCTAAATAGATTGAGCTCTTTGAGTCTATCACTATAAAGCATGCTTTCTAATCCTTTAATCATCCTTGTGGCTCTTCCCGGAACCCTCTCCAATGTATCAACATCCTTCTTGAATTGTGGGCACCAGAAGTGGACACAGTATTCCAGCAGTGATCACAGCAGTGTCAAATAGAGAGGTAAAATAACCTCTCTACCCCTACTTGAGATTCCCATTTATACATCCAAGGTTCGCATTAGCTCTTTTGGCCACAGTATCACAGTGGGAGCTCATGGTCAGCTGTTTATCTATCATGACCCCATTTTTTTTCAGCGTCACGGCTTCTCAGGTTCGAGTCCCCTATCATGTAAGTAGGGCCTACATTCTTTGTTCCTAGCTGTATATATTTACCTATGTTAAAATGCATATTGTTCGTTTGCACCCAGTTTACAAAGCTCTCCAGATCACAGTGACCTGTCCTCTTCATTATTTACCACTCTCCCAATTTTTGTGTCATCTGCAAACTTTATCAGTGATGATTTTTTGTTTTCTGCCAGGCCACTGATAAAAATGTGAAATAGCATAGTGCCAAGAACTGACCCCTACAGAACCACACTGGAAACAAACCGTCTCAATGACGATTCCCCATTTACAGTTACATTTTGAGACCTATTGGTTACCCAGTTTTTAATCCATGTAACATGTGCCATAGTAATTTTACATCATGCTAGTTGTTTAATCAAAATGTCATGCAGTACCAAGTTAAATGCCTTACAGAAGTATAAGTATATTACATCAACACTATTACCTTTATCAACCAAACTTATAATCTCATAAAAAATATCAAGTTAGTTTAACAGGATCTCTTTTCCATAAATCCATGTTGATTTGCACTAATTACATTACCTGCCTTTAGTTCTTTATTAATCAAGACCCATATCAGACACTCCTTTATTTTGTCTGGGCTTGTCAGGTTGACAAGCCTATAATTATCTAGGTTAACCTGTTTACCCTTTTAAAAAAATATCACATTAGCTTTCTTTCAGTACTCCAAGACTTACTGAAAAATCAACATTAATAGTCCAGTGATTTAAAACTCTGGGCCTGCTGATTTAAAAATGTCTAACTTTCATAGCTTCTGTTTATCATCCTCCAGCGATACTAGTGGAATGGAAAGAGTGCGATTATCAACATATGATAAGACTATATCATCTGTTTTTTCCCCAGAATACAGAACAGAAATAAATGTTGAACACTTCTTTTCTGCATTATTATTGATCATTCTACTTTCATCTAGTAATGGACCAATACCATTGTCAGGATTATTTAAAAAACTCCATCTTGAATTATGGGCGTCAGAAGTGGACACAATATTCCAGCAGTGGTCACAGCATATTTTAAAAACTCCTTATTGTCCTAGTATTGCTCTACTAATCATAGAATTCTTCTTGTGTCCCTTGACTTCCCTTATTAATTTTTTATAGTTCCTAACTTTGATTTATACTCATGATTATCATCCTCCCTTTTCTTCTATTTGTTATACATAACTTTTTTTTATTTATTATAGCTACCTTCACTTCCCCTCTAAACCAGGTCTGGTTTTTTAACTTGCACAGCATTCTTGTTATACTTATAAGAAGCACACGGGATCTTTATAGGGGAGAAGGCAAAAACGCTGTATTTATTGAGAATACAGCAGTTAGTATACGCTTTTCAAACACACACACACACACACACACACAGTGTCCTGCCAGTTGACGTTTATAGTTATCAGTCCAGAGTCCGGATCAATCTAGTGGCCAGCCAGATTTGTTGCAGAGGGGAGCCGGGCTCTGTCGGTTGTGATCTGATTCTCCTGGAGTAGTGGCAAGACGAACTCAAAGTCCCATGGCAAAGCACCCTGTTCTTATCGTCTTTTTTCTCTGTTGAAGTCTATAGATTTTGCTGTGTCAGTTTCTGACCGGTTACTTCTTAATTGGTGTTACCTTTTGATGTAAACATTCCAAAACATCTCCGAGGGGGTCATCCTGTCCCGGATTTGATTTAATCAATTGTCTTTAGGGGTGCCAGCCTTACCTCAGGGTCATCAATCTGCCCTTCCTTCATTATGGATGCGCGTCGATGATGTCGTTAAGTCTCTCCACTCCTTCTTCCTTGACCATTTGGCTATAACAATGGCCTTCACACCTTCTCTTTTCCTGATTAATGCATTCCTCATTCACACAAACAGTCTTTTACAGAGACCTTTGAGAATACAAACAGCCACATTTTATATTGAGCAAAAGACACTGTAAATTAAGCCTTCCTAAATCTTATAATCAAAACAATTCACACTGGGGCCCAGGCCTTCAATGTTCCTCTAATCTCCTTAACATAGACACAATACAAGATCCTGTCTCTTACTTACTAAACCTTAAAACAAATACATTTATATTTAACTAGAGTGCCTAATTTGTAATACATATAGGAAACCATATTAGACATTATAACTTATCCTAAAATGAAAGTGTGACCATAATCAGTCATAAGGATTGTTCTGGTCTGTCCCTGCCCAGGTCCAGTACAGACACTGGCAGTCTGTCAGATGCATTTCTACCAGTCCCAGAGGGTCATTCCTTTCTGCTGTTCAAAAAGGGTGGCTGGCAGGATAAAATCAAGACATACATTAGTATCTTTATTCTTATAGTACAATTATACAATCCTGCTCCTACATTCTCCCTTGAGTGCGGCTTTTTGGGTATCTAGTAAAGTGTTCTTAGATGATTCCCATTTTTCTGATTAAATTCTTCCTCCCAGCTGATCTGGCTCATAATTTTCAGCTTTGTGAAACTGGCCCTATTAAAATACCAAGTATATACATTACTGGTCTAAACTTTATTCTGCTTGCAGTTATAAATGTTATCAAGTCATGACCACTTGTACCTAAGCTACCATTAATTTTTAGTTCTGCAATCAGTTCCTCTTTATCTGTTAGAACAAAAAGATAGTATATAAACATGTGAATGCATGGGACTGGACTAGATGAACTATCAGTCCCTTCCAGTCCTATAATTCTATGATATATAACCATGCATCTGGAAAAAAAAATGCTGAATGCTTTATTTTCCTCTTTCCAGTCTTTTTTCTTTGTAGGGAGGACTAATTGCTGGTCATCACCATCCACATTTACTGTCAGATTTATTTAACTAGATTTCAATGCACAATTAAAGTATCTTTCCCATACAATATCTCTACTCCTAGTATTTCTACCACAACAATCATTGCTCATGGTCAGCATCAGGTCACTCTTCTGTCTTGTCTACGAGGAAAAGGTCCACCCATAGGCTTTCAAATCATCTTCCAATGAGAAGGCAAAAGTTTCCAAAATTAGAATTGCTATCATACTTTTTTCTTTATTCAAGCTGCTGGGGTTTTTGTTTGTTTGTTTATTTAATTCCCCAACTCCTATACACACACACACCTCGCTATAAAATATCTACATATATCACTACTGTCCCTAACTGCTCAAAACTGGATTGTTTGTAAGAAGAGTATTTCTCTGCATTATTTTTTCTGAGTTTCACCATGGCCTCTTTTTTATGAATAGCGGGATTAAGATCTTTTACACTGATTGTTACGATTATATATATATATATATATATATATATATATAAAATGTGTGTGTGTGTGTGTTTATATATATATAAAAAACCAGACCTGGTTTAGAGGGGAAGTGAAGGTAGCTATAATAAATAAAAAAAAGTTATGTATAACAAATAGAAGAAAAGGGAGGATGATATACACACACACACACACACACACACACACCATCCACCATTACTGAGTATTGCTAAAAACAAACAAACAAAAAACTATACTCTAGTTCTCAATAGAAGCTTAAGAAGCTACTTTCTCCCCTCAGGAAACAGGAGGTTTTCCTCTTAAACAGCCACTAAAAAAGAGTGAACGCATGTACCCTATTGCTTTAGTAAAGCTCTCTGCTCTTATATGTTCCTCTTTCATTATTCTTCTTGACCCCTTGTTCTCCACTTCTATCTCCATTTACATATTGCATTGTTTCCTGTTCTCTAGCTTTTCTCTCCCCATCCTAATTATGCTTTGGAGAACCTCCCCACAACTTCCCACCCTCAACTTCCTCTTATCAGAGAAATGGATGAAATTATGTTCCACACTCTGGTAGAACACACATCCATAACCTAAAATGTATAATTCTATAGGGAAACAGGTCTCCCTTTAGCCTCACCCACAAAATAGTGATTAAAAACAGCTAACTCTGAGGTTTCTGACAGGTTATATACCAGGTGTGGCCAAACCGGCATGTGGCTCTTTTAAAGTTAAAGTGTGGCTCGCGGAGTCTGGTGGGCAGGGGAACTCGGGGCTTCTGCCCTGCAGTGGGGTGGTGGGACTAGGGGCTTCTACTCTGCAGAGAAGGGGATCACGCAGAAGTGGATTTACCATGAAACAAACCATGCGGTGGCACAGGGCCCCCCACCACAGGGGGCCCCCCAAAATTCAGGACAAATCTCATTTGACAACTTGCCCCTGAGTCCCAGCCAGTGGTGCAGCAGGACTCAGGAAGGCAGGCTGCCTGCATGCCGTGGCCAGTGGCCCCAGGCCACTCCTGGAAGTGGCTGGCTGCTGGCACGTCTCTGCATGTCCCTGGCAGGGGGGAGATGGCTTTGCGCACTGCCCCCAACCTGGGCAGCGCACGGAGACCCAGTGCTCCCCTATCCTTAAGGGGCATGCAGAGATGTGCCAGCAGTAGGGCTAAAGCGGCTCCCGGCCCGCTCTGCCTCCCTCCCTCCACACTGCTCCTGGAAATGGCTGGCATGTCTCTGCGGCCCTGGGGGTGTCTCCGCATACTATCCCGGCCCGAAGGGCCCACTCTGCAGCTCCCATTGGGTGGGAACTACTGCCAATGGGAGCTGCGGGGGCAGCACCTGCGGGCAGTGGTGCATGGACACCCCCTGCCCTGCCTGGCCTAGAAGCTGCTGCCAGAGGGGTGTGTGTGCTGGTCGCTTTTGGAGTCGGGCCACCCAAGGTAAGTGTTGCCCCCCTGTCGCCCTCCCACATCCCTGCCCCAGCCCAGAGCCCACACCCAGTACCCAAACTCCCTCCCAGAGCCTGATCCCCACACCTCCTCCTGCACCCCAACCCCCTGCCCCAATCACGGTACTTCATTTTATTTTCATTTACTTCCCATTACTTATAATATAGGAAGAGGATTGTGGAAAGGATGAAGAAAAAAGAATAAAAAACAGGGGAGGGGGTGATAAGAGAGAATGTTCATTTTCTTGGCTGGGTCCCCGGGGGGGGGGGGCACCCTGAAAATGAAGCTGCGCACAGGGCCCTGCTAACTCTAAATCTGCCACTGGGGTCATGGGGCTTTAGCCCCTTGGAGGGGGGCATTAGAGCAGAAGCCCTGCCCCCCTGCAGGCACCACCCTGAGGGACAGGTTGTGTGCTTCTTGCGGCTCTCAAACTTCTGAAGATTATTGTATGGGGCTCAGAGGGTCAGTATGTTTGGCCACCCCTGTTATATACAACGAAGGTGTTAAACAAACCATTAACCAACGTTCAAGATTCCACAGCATTAGGTTCTCTTCCTCTTCTGTCACCTTTGCTAATTTGCATGGCTGCTTTGCTTTACAAAATTGGAGAGTGGGTGGGAGGGAAGCAGCTAATAGTTTTCCTCCGAGGATGGACTAAATGTGACAATTAAATCCCTATTTCCTAACACCTTGCTTTCCTATCTTCAAAAGTTTCAGTGAACAATTGCTGTTTTTACACAGAGAGGAAATCTCCTTCAATTTAAAAAGAGTATTTTAAGTTAACGATTCAAAATTCATCATAACCCTGGCTGCAAAGAACATCATTCATTGTACATAACAAACTAAGATCTGTCAAAGGCTACATTGTCTTGGCAAGTTCTGACGGTGCAAATCTTGACCCAATTTTGTAATAGAACTGGTGTTTATGTTTAAATGCATAAACTGTTTTGTCCATTTCTGCTACATGCCAGAATTATCATCATTCCTCCAGAGAAAAGTGAGCTTTCCATCTGGGTATATGGGTATCTTAGTATAAGTAATGTAGTATATATCTTGTGGATAGTTCTCCTTAAGTTGCCAAAATATTGACTATCATCATTTTAGAAATAATATCTTGAACAGCATTCCAGAAAAAGTGTTCCCCAAAATGTATTCCTACTTCCTTTTTGTGCACAGTTTCCTCAACAGGGAAAAAATAATTTATCAACTAAAACCAGCTGCAGTCAGTCTGATATGAAATACCCTTCCACCCAACTCCACCCAAATATCCACAGCATCCTCTACTGAATTTCCTTTTTCTATTGTAGAACATGCTGGTCTTAAAGAGACTTGCCACCTATTTAATATGTAACCAATCTATGACCTCATCACATTTTTTCTGCTTCTTTCCCAGCTGCAGGAGCCAAGCTATCAAGCCTTGATGAAGCACAATTTCAAAAATCTTGAATTGTCAAAGGTGTTCAATGAGATTAAATTATCAGATTTTTTTAAAGTCTGTTTTTTAGACTTAATTGAATTACTTGCATATTTTTCTTTTTGGTAATATAAAAATAATCTTATTGAAAATGTGTGTTGCATTAGGCAGCAAATTAAACTCACAGTAAAAGCAGGATTTGCCATGAAAATTCAAGGACAGCAAAAAGTGAAAGCAAAATTTTCTTTACAATTCTTACCATTGCATCTCCACAAGAGGTAGCCATAATTGTAGTGTTTGTGTAGACCAGCCATCATTTTAATGACTGTATCAGCCAACCCTGCTCAGATCAGGTCTAGGGGATAGTGCTGTCAAAATACCAACAGCTGGTCCTTACTAACAGTTCCACAGTGGAGATACACCTGGTGGAGCTGCACTGCTGGTGGTGGGAAATGTGCTTCATAAAAGAGGTGCACGTATAAGAAAAAAACAAAAGAACAAGTGGATCCACCACTTAAGACAGGCAGACCAATCTACTGATGACAAAAGACTGAAAATGTTTAGAAGCTACTTAGCTGCAGTCTTAAAAGCATAATAGTGGCAAGGTACAATGCAATAATGGTTAACAAAAGTCCTGAAGAAGAGCTCTGTGTAGCTAAAAAGCTCGTCTCTTTCACCAACAAGTTGGTCCAATAAAAGACATTACCTCACACACCTTGTCTTTCTAATATCCTGGGTCCAACATGACT